TCCATCCATCCGTCTATCCATCCATCCGTCTATCCACTCATCCGTCTATCCATCCATCCGTCTATCCATTCATCCATCCGTCTATCCACACATCCGTCTATCCACACATCCGTCTATCCACACATCCGTCTATCCATCCATCCGTCTATCCATTCATCCGTCTATCCATCCAGATACATCTATCCCAGAGGTAGCCACCACAGTGCCCGCAGAGACCACGTGAGTCGCCCACAAGGCGTGTTCTAAAAATAGCACCAGTCACCATGGATCTCCGTCTAAAAATTTGAGTTGCTGTTGTAGATTTTGATGAATTGAGAGTGGTATGTGTTGAGAGTTGAGACTGGGATATGCTCAGCAGAGTTTGTGATAATTGTCTGAGGGCTTGTGACACTATTCAGATTACCCGTGGTCATTTGACTGTGACTCAGAAGTAGAGCGGGTCGTCCTTCAATCAGAGGATCGGCGGTTCGATCCTCCACTAGTCCATGTCAATGTGTCCTTGGGCAAGACACTTAACCCCAACTGTCTCCCGTAGCTGTGCCTGTGGTGTGTGAATGTTATAGTCCTGATGGGGCAGGTAGCACCTTACATGGTAGCCCCTCCCATGAGTGTATGAATGGGTGAATGATGACATGTAGTGTTAAAGCGTTTTGAGTGGTCGGAAGACTAGAAAAGTCTATACAAGTACAGTCCATTTACCATTTAATCCATTGTTGGTTTGTTGTTAGTCAATTGTTTGTGCTTAAATGTTGAATCTTGTATTCAAATGTCACCTCCCCACATGTATGACCGTTTATTTTGTTTCTCTTCAGACTGTTACCAGCGGCTGGAGTTCCTTGGCGATGCAATTCTAGACTACCTCATAACAAAGCACCTTTATGAAGATCCGCGGCAGCACTCTCCAGGCGTGCTGACTGACCTGCGCTCAGCACTCGTCAACAACACCATCTTTGCCTCTCTGGCCGTCAAGTACGACTACCACAAGTACTTCAAGGCCATCTCGCCGGAGCTCTTCCACGTCATCGACGACTTCGTGCAGTTTCAGCTGGAGAAGAACGAGATGCAAGGCATGGACTCCGAGGTGAGTCCTGTATCCCCCAAGAAAACCCACAGCTAGCATCGGTACTGAACAACAAAGCCCTGCAGGAAGAAACCTAATCTTTGCTGGAGTAGTTTTTTTTAACCCCCTTAAAATAATAGTCAGTATTAAAAAAAAAGAAGTTCTGTCTAAATAACAAGGCTGTCAGCTTCTATGAGTCTGTTTCATATGCCAATGCTTTTAGCAGTTGGATTTAATTAGCCTGTAAATGGCTATCTGTGCACCAGATCTCCTCTCATTCTACTGGAGAGGTACTCCTCTGCCCCAGGGACAGCAGGCTCATACACAAACATACTGACAATCCAGCTGAAAGGAATAAAGAACTGTACTGCAGGAATACAGTGTGGTACCACTCACTGTTCACTATTGGGCTCACTCCTCATGACTACATGATGAAGCTGTAAATGTAGCATGTAGTCTGTCAGTGAATGGTTTAAAGAGCAACTTAACACTCCCTTCATATATTTATGAAATGCATTAAAACCCAGACTCTCACTCACTGTCTGCATTGGACGTCTTTAGGGTTGCAAATGATTGTAGAATTTCAATGGGAAATTTTGGCACAATTTCAATATAAACATTGTACCATACAATAGTGTAAATAATTATTATATTTTATTTAACTGTTGACTTCCAGAAATTTCCAAGAACTTCCCATGGAAAGTTTCCACCTTGAATGTTCCTGGAATTTTGCAACCCTCAACGAATTTCATCTGTGATGATGATGAGGATGTTTAAGGGGAAGCTACCACATCATAAGTCTACTACAGCGCGCACAAACCTGACATCAGAGTCATTTCACTTTAGTATTGCATCAAAGTACTTTGTTTTAATAAATGACTGTTGATATGGTCTGCTGCAAGGGACATTTGTCATTTTAACCAGAGAAAGGATTAAGAAGCACCTACCTAAGATGTTTAGTGTACGGAGCCTTGCTATCTATTGAGTCCTTGTATTTCGCCAATCCGGATGTCAGAACCCAAAACAGGTTTTCAAAGTCTAACGCTGTTAATTTCCTCTTGCAACCTGATGCTTTTCACTGTGAATTAGTATCTGCATTTTATTTGGTCAGTGACAAATTGTTTCATGATAATAGAATCAAGCAGAAGAAAGCAGAGATTGTGGAGATCCCGGGCTCTGCTTACAGAGTCCATCATGTCGTCGTCAGCAGGTCTTTACATGCCGCGGCTCATTGACTGCTGGATACTGGATGTGCTAACGTTACAACCAAACTCTTCTTCAATCCCATGCAGCGTGTCAGGGCTTTAGCCAAACAACTAGCATGCTCCGAATGGCCACACCCCCGACAACGCTGTTAGCAGCAATACCAGGAGCCGAGCAACTTTTGCTGCAGGATAGTTCCAGGCATCCAGGCTTGGGTTCTCTCTAAATGTCTGGACTCATGTAATCTGGTCCCACTGGTTAAGGTTAACTCTCTCAAGTAACACTCGCATTTTAGGAGAGTGAGTGTCTGTACATCGTCAGGGAAACTCTTAATGTCTTCAGTCATTGTTCAAAAACGAGCCAACACAACTTGTAAGTCAGTGTTATTATTCTGCCTCCAGCTTACGCGTCGTCATGTTGAACAGAAAAGCATTCTGTCGTGCTGATTCAAAATATCCTTTTGTGTGTTTTGGCAACCAGCTGCGTCGCTCTGAAGAAGATGAGGAGAAGGAGGAGGACATCGAGGTCCCCAAGGCCATGGGGGACATCTTTGAGTCCCTAGCCGGAGCAATTTACATGGACAGCAGGATGTCACTGGAGACGGTGTGGCAAGTGTATTATCCAATGATGAGGCCACTTATAGGTGAGGAGGAGTGAAGGCACATTGATTTATCTACGCATTCATTATTTTGCCAGTCATGATTGTTGGGCAGTTCGTGCATGAGTGGGTGATTGCAAACATTCAGAATTTCTTCCAGTTGGGTGGACGTTTGAGGATGTTTATGATGACGCCTTTTTATCTCCTCACCACTTCCAGAAAAATTCTCTGCCAATGTGCCACGCTCTCCTGTGAGGGAGCTGCTGGAGATGGAACCAGAAACTGCCAAGTTCAGGTAGGAGACCAGCACCTATGACACCTATTACATTTATCATATGGAATATGTTATGGAACATATTCATTGTAGCTATGCACAGATGAAAGGATAGGGGTTAATGACTGTTTAACACCTAATTGTTAATGTAACTTGTGGCGTTATGAATTTCAGTACAGTTTGAATGTTTCATGAAGTTCAAGTACAACAAACCTATTTTGTAAAAAAAAAAAAGAAACGCATTTAACTTATCAAAGCTGCTGTTCACTTAAAGACAAAGTCCTCCTTTCTTTGTTAGTAAAGAGTTAAATCCCAACTCACAAATCCGTTTCTCCTCCTTCAGCCATTGAGTGTTAAAAAAACAAAGCTAGGTAAAAAAAAAAATCAACACCAAGCAAAATGTCATAATTTCTTCCATAACTTTCAATTTGAACTCTTACTACTCTGATTAAACCTCTGCTTAGGTTTTGTTTTCCAATAGTCACGTGCTCGCCCACTGACCAATCACAGCACACTCTGCACCTCACTGCAGAGCTGCACCTGGACACTGAGCGGCTCTGACACGTCAAAGAATACGCCCAACATGTCAAACTAAAGATCTGATAGGTTGAACACTATGGCAATCAACAATATTGTCCCCATTCACTTAAAGTGCACATGGATGCACTTGTGAGTCTGCAGG